GAATCCCAGTGATTCTTTGAGATGACAATCACTTCTATCTTATAACATTTTGTTATTTTTGTTGAGAACTTTGGTCAACTTATTTTGAGGATTGTGGTAACATCTTTTATTATCCCTAACTTTTTCCTGAACTATTTCTTTTGAAATCATAATAAGCGGGATGCCCCAATTTTGTATAAGTCTCCTTAACAGGTGTTGACTTAGTCGGGGTTTTCTTTGATTTTTCATTTCATTCTATTTTGGAAAGATAGTGATTGCCTGGCTTAATGATTACGATTAACCACCATTGGCTTTTTGATTTGAGAGACATCTTCGACACTTCTTTGATATGTGCGAAGGAAAGCTTGATTACAACCTTTATTGAAAGATGTCTTTGTAAAATTATCTTGTATTGGAATGCACAATCAAGTTAACTGAGAACCATCTATCCCCAGGTTAAGATTGCGGGTTTTTTATACTGAAAGAAACTCTAACTTCTAGGCTCAAAGGAGTGAACGAGGGATTAACTTCCTTATTTCTCCAGTTTTTGGGAGTTGAAACAATGCCTTACATCACCAGCTAAGTTTTTTTAATTGAAATCATGCCATTCAATAATTTGGGTATTCCGTTTTCAACATCCTCCCTCCAATCTTTGCATAAGCAAAAGTTTAATAAGGAAAGTAAACAATGGATATACAAAGAAGTAATTGAAACCATAAATTGATTCAAAGATGCTGATTTCATTAAAATTAACATGGGAATAAACAAATTTTAAAGCAAACAACAAATACAGTCAAAAGGAAAATGCAAACAGAAAGAAAGAAAGCCAAGTAACTAATCAGCAACAAGGATGCGTTGTCCTGTCTGGAACACTGACTGAGGAGAATTTGGCTTGAGCCAACTAAAGCTTCACTTGTCATGTCTTTGCAATAGATTCTTTTTGACATTAGGACCAACATCTTGGCAGGACAAAATCTTTTCCTTAATCAATTCTTGAATTCTAGTCTACCATTCTTCTTCTGACATTAGATCTAGTTCCGTACTTGTGTTCATGAAACAGCTTGACAATTGATAGATAACTCGGAATAAGGAGACAATGAGAATGAGATACTGGACAACCTAGATATATGCGTGAATTATGAAAAGGATGAAAATGTTAGTTTTTATTTTGACTTTCAAGGAACTCAAGATTGTAAACATTAAAGCATGAGGAAAGTAAATTCTAAATTGGATCAAATTATTGATCAAGTTATCATCAAAATCAATCATCCATTTTGGTGGATTAGGGTTTTCACCCCATCAACACCCAAGATCCATTGAGTTTGATGAAACTTATGATGTTTATAAAGAAAGACCCTTAAATTCCTTAAAAACCAAGTGAAAAAGAGTTTCATGGATGTATGAATGTATGGTTATGCAACAATCACAAACAAGATCGCAAGCAAGGTTCAAAGGTTCGACGTCACGAGAATGGAGTCAAAGGTAAGAACCACCCACAAGGTATGTACTAAGGGTTTATTTGTACATATTGAACAAGGTTCTAAACATACTGAGAGTCGATATTCTTCCTTCGGATATTACCAACTTCCCGAATACTCGATAATTAGCAATATTCTCAAGAAAAACTCGTCTAAGTGCAGCATCACATGACAACTACTCTCGGATTACTGCGTTCTAGTTTCCGCACTACATCTAAAAGGCCAAGATGGGTTAAGGGTTCTACGACTTCTCAGATTCTTTGGTTCCCAGGTTAAAAGCAGCAATGTCTTTCCGATTACTCGGTAAATGAATACTACAGCCAAAGGGGCCTCCACTGAGTGGGGGATCTCATGCCTCCTTTTTTAGGATTACTCCCTCAAAGTTAACATGACTATACCTCCTTACCTAATCTTAAGTTTTCCGAAGTCCGGGTGTTGTACCCCAAAATTTTCCCTCCCTTTTCTTCAAGACATTCCTCATAAAAGATCCCAAATGCTCAAGGGTTCTCAAGAGTTTGATCAGACAAGCCCACCTCCTAAACACTGAGTCCACAAATTAGGGTTTTGGTTTTCTCAAGGAAAATTGGACTTCTAATGCCTTAAGTGAATTTCATGGTTCATTATAGATCTCCAAGAATGCTCATACCAAGTTTCAAATCTTACATCACAAACTTGCTCAGTCAATTGCTTAGATGACTGAAAATCAACTGTATTAGGTAAAAAGTCAACTGTTGTCAACATACAGTCAAACTTCAAGATTTTTGGCCAACATCAACATTTTGAAGTCATATTAATCAATTGATCAATGGTTGATCATAATTCCTCAAGAAAAGCACTCAAATCATCAAAGGGGCAAAATTGTCAAATTTAGGGTTTTGACTGAGAATGAATGATCATTGACTTTGACCTAGTACATGACCTAATGATTGAGAGCATGATCTTAAGGACTCAAACACAATATCTTGACCTAATTTCATGATTACATTATTGTAGCAATAGAACATTCTAAAGATCTTAACACCGCGAGAATTGAAGAGCTGCAAAGAAACTCTATTATAAAAATCTTACAAAGAAACCCTAGCTACTAAGTTGTTTATATACTCAAAATAAACTGTCACGTATGCACAAACAAAATTATGCATAATAGCTAACCTAACAGCTAAGAATAACTTATAGAAAATATCAAACTACTGCTTCTGAGTAACAGCCTCAGAAGCTCTATTACTTTCGACTAACAACATACTTTTGGATAGAAATTACTTCTAATGTTAATGACGATCATGTATGCCGCCAAGTCAGATCAAAATTTGAAATTTTTATACTGTAAGTGCATCTCCTTTAAACTCTTCCTTCAAGTGTTTTAGTTTATCGAATGAGGTAAATCTTATATGAATTTTTACACAATGATTGATAAAGTGAGATTTAAATTGTTTAAGTTCAATTATTAGAAACAAGAGAACAAGTATGTAGAGGTAATTTTGCATGGTGAACCGGTATTTGTCATATAGATAAGGAAATTCACTATTTATAAAATTTGTACTCACTAAAAGAAATACATACATGTGGCGATTATTTTAAAATTGACTATAAAAAAAAAACCTATTTAGTGTGCAAAGAGGGTCTTTTAAGAGTATATTTGATTGGGGTAAATGGAGGGGAAGAGATGGATTGTGAAAGAATATTTAATATTTTATGTGTTTGGTTCAAATTGTAAGAGGGGGGAGAAAAGGTAGATGGAGGGGCCAAAAAGTTCTTCATAAATCACTTTTGTTTTCTTTGAAGGGGGAGGTGTTTCATTTTAATTATAATTATATTTATATTTTGATAATTATTTATTTGTTTAAATATAAACTTAACTTATTAAAATGTTAAAAGTTATATTTTAAACAAATTTTATCATCCATTTATATTTTTTGCATTTTTATAATCTTCATCTTATTATCAATATATATGTTTAAATTTTTTTTTATTTTTTGTCAAAAATATATGAGGAGCCCTTTAATTATTTTGTTGTAATAAAGTGGTCATTTAAGTTTTTTTTCTACAACTTGGTCTTTTAGGGTGATTTCTACTTCATTTTTCTCACATTTTGAATATTTAGAAATGTTAATTATTATAATTTTGGTTGCACTTCATCATTCTCTTATCACTTAAAATAGTTATATCCACAATTAACAAATTTTCTCTATTAAAAAAATATAAAAATGCACAAGTTAATTAACTTAAAGGATCAACGTCTAACAAAAAAAACTTAAATGATCCCTTTATTACAATAAAATAATTGAAATGATCTTTGGTATACTTTTGTCTTTATTTTTTATATTTTAATGTTACTTTTTAATTATCATAATATTTTATTTATAATTTTTTTTGTTAAATTTTATTATATTTGATATATTTAAAAAATTATATATTTATAATCATTATTTTTTTTTATAAAATCTTTTATGATATTCTCTAATTAAATACTTCTATTTCATTAATGAGTTTTATTTGAATTATAAACGATTACAAGAAACAAAATTAAATTAGATTTAAAATATCTCATTGTAAACAAACATATTAGTAAATAAATATCATTTCCTTCCTCTCGTTTTATATGTTACCAAATATATATGTAATTCAAATTCATTCCTGCCCCTCTCATCTCCTTGATAAAAATTCTTACCATCCTCCTTCTTAATTGAAATGTGCAGATTTATGAATGTAAAAATAGTTTTCAAAGATTCACTAGAGTTGGAAATAGCTTTTTGTAGATGTATGAATAAATATTTTTACAAAGGGATTCTCACATATAAAAAATATAGTGAAATCCAAAATTTTGTGGAATATAAATTACCTTTTTATTTATTGAATATTTCATTGATTTATTCCAACAAACTAAAGAACAAATTGGTATATAAAATGGGTTATGAGTTTTTTATTTATTTAAAATCTTAGTAACATTTTATAATCATCGGTTTTAGAAATTTCGTAATAATTTTATTTATATTAAATTTTAAAATTATTTCTCTTTTTTTGGTATTAATTTTAAAATTATTTCTGTTAATATATAACGTTGATTAATTAATTAGCTGACAAAATGCTGAAAGATATGACACAAACACTTAATATTATTTGAAAAATTATATTTTTATAGTTTTAGACTTTAAAAATTTTAAAAGTAACATTTGAATTTAAAAACAGACTGAAAATTTATATAGCGTTGAATAATGAGTTAGCTAGGCCTAGATGTGATACGAACACTCCATATTTTTTGAAAATTATAAAATTATAAAATTTAAAACTTATAACTAAAAACACATCAAGAATTATAGAAAAAAAATTATTTAATTAATCCTAGGGGTGCAAATAATTAATAAATGGTGGTAATAACAATAAAAATTCTATAACTACCGAAGAATAAGCCCATTTAGGCCCAACCCAAACCCAAAATATAACACTCTAGGGTTTCCAAATCCTTTATACATCAGAACAAACTAGGTTTTCATTTCTAACCCTGAAACGGCGATTCAGTCAGAGTGAAAGGAAGCAAAGGCGAAAATGGTGAAATTTCTGAAGCCGAACAAAGCTGTGATCGTCCTTCAAGGTCGATATGCAGGGAAGAAAGCTGTGATCGTGAAGAACTTTGACGACGGAACCCGTGAACGTGCTTATGGTCATGCTTTGGTGGCTGGGATCAAGAAATATCCCAGCAAGGTTATAAAAAAGGATTCCGCAAAGAAAACCGCCAAGAAGTCTCGTGTGAAGGCGTTTGTGAAGCTTGTTAACTACCAGCATCTTATTCCTACCCGTTACACTTTGGATGTTGATCTTAAGGAGGTGGTTACCAATGACGCGCTCTTGAGTAAGGACAAGAAGGTTACTGCTTTGAAGGAGGCCAAGAAGAGGTTTGAGGAGAGGTTCAAGACCGGGAAGAACAGGTGGTTCTTTACCAAGCTCAGGTTTTGAAGGAAGCTGTTTTAATTTTTCTTGCTTAATCGTTTTGTCGTTTTGTCTTTTTAGAATTTGATTTTGGATTTGTATTTGGGATTTCATAATTTCTACTTTGAGGATTTTATATCTGCTTTTGTATGACTTAAGTTATGCTACATGATTTTAATGTTTCACATTTATTATATGGATCTCTGAGTTGGGGTTTATTTAATTGGTTTTGGCCATCTTGTGAATTGTGATAATTCATTCACCATTGATGTTCTTTGGTTTTCTTTTGTATATCCAGATTTTTTATGTGTTGTTTATTCATGTGATTTGTCATAATATTAGTAATTATGATTGAATTAAATAAAATTGTTTTGAGCCTATAGCAGGGTTTGATTTACTTTTTTTTTATAGACTTATCTTAACTTTGGTCATTTATCAATATTCTTTGGTATTTTAATGATTTGCTCAAAAAAGTGATTTTTGTGTTTGGTCTCTTATTTGATATAATTTAACCCTATGATAGGGTTGATTAGCTTGTTTTAAGCATTTAAGTTGTTTTAGATTTTTAGGTTATAGGATGAGTAAATCGATTTTTTAAAAATCTATCAATGTTTTGATTTGTAATTACTTTAGATGTTGATTGGATCAATTTTACATTATGTTTTTTGCTTGTGTTTTTTACCTTTTGTTAAATACTGGGATTCCCACAATTGCTGTACTTCATTTGGAATGAAGTTTGGTCCATAGATATATTCTTCTGTATGTCATTTTTAATGAATTTGAGGAATCAGTTGAAAAAGTGTTGATTGGATTCCCCATTTACTCTTATGTACGGGTGAAATCACTTTGAAAATAGTTGTTGATTTGGCATACTGAAGAGCGATGTTGTTATTTTGTGTTGTATCTGTTGTGGGATTGCAGATATTTTGTCGACAAAATGTATGATATTTCAGGTGACATTCATTTTTAAAAATAAATACAGATTTTCAATATTAAAGAATTTGTATAACTTGTATTATTAGTTTGAACAAAAGAATTTGTTAATTAGAGAATCTAACTAATCTATTTTCATGGTTTCTACAACTTTGGTCTTGCCTAGTGGGAGTGTGTCAATGAGTTATTATGCTGTTTAAAGTCCCTTTTGTTCGGTTATTCTTGAAGTGTTTTTTAGCTTTCTCAGTTGGCTTATATTTAGCTTAATATTGGGCTGAGCAGGTTTTTGCCGCTTCTTCAGTATTTTTCCACTTTGATGCAGAATGCTTTTAATTTCATAGGTTGTAGCTTATGCTAAGTAACCAACGTTGTTGGTTAGTGTCTAATTATCACTTGGAATATTTTGTTGTAGTTGCAAATAATTTTTGTTTCCTCTGGTTGGTTATTATATCTCATTTTCTGAATGCGACAAGATCTGTTTGCTTAGTTAAAAAAACCTTTTCTGGATATGAGTAATTTGAAATTTATCGAGCTGGTGATCACTAACATTTAGTTTATCCAATATATTATAAGGTGGTTCTGAAAATATTATTGACGATATCAAACTCCACGTGTTTGTATTTGTCATAAGTAGCGGTTCTAATGTCCATTTAATGCTGGGGAGGTAACGTAGTGGTTGGAAAAAATGGTGTTGTTTGAACAATTTGCCTGCTGCTGTCGAATTATATTGATGAGTGGATGATGAAGTCTTGGGGTACCTGCGAGAGTATTCGATGTCAATTTATAGCCTTTAGTGTTGGCTAAGGTTTCCATTTTGGATTAGATGTCTAGGCTCAAAATGGTGATTGTCGGGATCTTATATGGGTGTGAGATTATTCGATGTCAATTTATAGCCTTTAGTGTTGGCTAAGGTTTCCATTTTGGATTAGATGTCTAGGCTCAAAATGGTGATTGTTGTCTAGGCTCAAAATGGTGATTGTCAGGATGTTATATGGGTAGAGGAGATCACTACATGGTCTTTATCCTTGTTCAACTACTTGTGATTTTTGGAGGGCGAAGACTTGATCTTTTCGAGAGCAGGATGACTCTGATATTTGGAGGAATGTTGATCACATATCCTTGTCGGACACATGGGTAGCACGTCCTTGTCGAGCACGTGGTTGAGATGTCTCTGCTGGGCAGGTGGAGGAGGAGATCCTCGACGGGCACTCGTAGGACATTCACCATGTCCACGTTTTGAGAAGGAGGTCCTCGACGAACACATAGGGAAGACGTTCCTCAACGCTCATAGCAGTTTGGGCCAATGTAGTGGGCCATCCTCATAGCAGAATTGGTCGGGTCTTGCTCGACGATAGTCTAAGCGCAGACTCAGTCCAGAACAGAAGCCCTAAGCCGTTGCTCCTAAGCATATGAGTTATGACTTTAAGGCCAACTCATGTGTCAAGGAGGTAATGACACTGAGCATCTCTGTGGTGTTCGTTATGACTTTGTCCTTCAATCCCGATGTCAGTCGATAAAGGTGCGGGCATCAGCTTTCAGTCCAGCCTACGCGAAAAAGGATGTGATCATCCAGATTAACAATGTTTGCTCGCAGAGAAATACAGAGGATGATGTTCTATAAGTATCATGGTCGGAAGTTGAGACGTGCCCGTGGTAAGGGTGCTCGTGCTCCTTGTAACTGTATTGTAGGGGTATGTACGTTGTGGAAGAAAAACATTGTGTGTTCGGGTGTTATTGTTCGGCTATTAGGGAGTCGGGAAGTTTAGCAGGCGTTCTCCTTGTGCACGTGTCGAAGCATTCAAAGCGTAATGATACCCTAGGTGTAGGAGTCATCCTTACATATGCATATGGGCGGCAATGCATTAGAGCGTTGACACGTCACCCGAAGTCTCCCGCATAAGGTGTTCATTTGTAAAGGGTTTCATTTGCAAAGTTTTCATCTTTGCTCTCCCTTTGGCCTCTCTTATTTTGATTCTCCCTTAGCCGCAATTGACGTCGTATTCTTCCGTCACAGCGTGCTCCGCCGTCGCGACCTCCGTTCATCTTTTCTGATTCATACTAGTATTTGTGTTGTATCTGTTGTTGGATTGCAGAAATTTTGTCATCAAAATGTATGATATTTCAGGTTACATTCATTTTTAAAAATAAATTCAGATTTTCAATATTGTTTGTAGTTAGAGAGAATAGTTATAAAGGTGTATAACTTGTATTATTAGTTTGAATAAAAGAATTTGTTAATTAGAGAATCTAACTAATCTATTTTCATGGTTTCTACAACTTTGGTCTTGCCTAGTGGGAGTGTGTCAATGAGTTATTATGCTATTTTTTTTAAAACTGAGTTATTATGCTGTTTAAAATCCCTTTTGTTCTGTTATTCTTAAAGTGTTTTTAGCTTTCTCAGTTGGGTTATATTTAGCTTAATATTGTGTTGAGCATGTTTTCGCCGCTTCCTTCAGTATTTTTCCACTTTGATGCAGAATGCTTTTAATTTCATAGGTTGTAGCTTATTTGAAGTAACTAATGTTGTTGGTTAGTGTCTAATTATCACTTGGAATATTTTGTTGTAGTTGCAAATAATTTTTGGTTCTTCTGGTTGGTTATTATATCTCGTTTTCTGAATGAGACAAGATCTGTTTGATTAGTTAAAAAAACTTTATCTGGATATGAATATTTGAAATTTATCGAGCTGGTGATCACTAACATTTATTTTATCTAATATACTTTGTATACACCAAACAATAATTAATATTTTCAAATATAAGGTTGTTCTGAAAATGTTATTGACGAATGACGATATCAAACTCCACGTGTTTGTATTTGTCTAAAGTAGCGGTTCAAACGTCCATTTAATGTTGCGGAGGTAACATAGTGGTTGGAAAATATGGTGTTGTTTGAATAAGCTGCCGATGTCGAATAATATTGATGAGTGAATGATGAAGTCTTGGGGTACTTGCAAGATACTCCAATGCTAAATTGAGTTTTAGAACAAAAGTGCAAGTATGAATGTCTAGGCTCAAAATGGTGATTGCTAGGATCCTATATGAGTAGAGGAGATTAGCATGTGGTCTCTATTCTTGTTCAACTGCCTGTGATTTATGGAGGGTCAAGAAGACCTGAACTCTTTGAGAGCAGGATGATTTTGTGATATTTGGAAAAACGTTGATCACATATCCTTGTCGGGCACATAAATAGGACGTCCTTGTCGAGCACGTGGAGATGTCTTCGATGGGCAGGTGGAGGAGGAGATCCTGGATGGGCACTCGTAGGAGACGTTCACCATGCGCACATGTTGAGGAGGAGGTCCTCAACAAGCACATGGGAGAGACGTCCTCAACGGTCATAGCAGTTTGTGCCAATGTAGTGGGCCTTTCTCATAGGAGAATTGGGCCGAGCCTTGTTCGATGGTAGTCTAAGCGCAAGCCCAGTCTAGAACAGAACCCTCCAAGTCGTTGCTCATAAGCATATGAGTTATGACTTTAAGGCCAACTCATGTGTCGAGGAGGTAGTGACACCGAGTATCTTTGTGGAGATCTTTGTAACTTCGTCCTTCAATCTCGATGTCAGTCGACAAAGGTGCGAGCATCAGCTTTCAGTCCAGCCTATGCGAAAGGAGATGTGATCATCCAGATTAACAATGTTCCTCGCGGAGAAACACAGAGGGGGATGTTCTATAAGTATCATGGTCAGAAGTTGAGACGTTCCCGTGGAGAGTGTGCTCGTGCTCCTTGTAACTGTATGTTAAGGGTATGTACGTCGTTGAAGAAAAACATTATGTGTTCGGGTGTTATTGTTTGGCTACCGGAGAGTCGGGGTCATCATTACCTATGCATATGGGCGACAATGCATTGGAGCGTTGATACGTTACCCGAAGTGACGTTTCGTCTCCTGCACAAGGTTTATAAATAGAGCTTAAGGTTTCATTTGCAAAGTTTTCATCTTTGCTGCTCCGTCGTCGCGACCTCCGTTCAACCTTTAATCAAGTAAGCCTTTTTTTCTTTCTTTCGATTTAACTATGTTTTTACACCTCGTAAGGTGCATGTTTTGGATGAATTTCGTGTTCAGGGGATGTTCTTCCCTGAGAAACACATAGATTC